ACACCTAAATAATGCCTATTCACTCTCGCCTTGAAAAGGTCCAAGTTATAGCGTTCGGGGAATAGGTCCGCAGGCAGGGAATTCCACTCCCTAGCCGCTTGCCAGATAAATGTGGAAGCGAAATGCTTAGTGCTTAACCTGGGAATATCCACAATACAGAAATGGAACCCCAGCCCACGTCCACATCCGTCTTACTATAAAAGTATTATAGTATAGTATTATTATATGTCAGGCTTGGAGCCCGCCCGACACCCGTGGTCAAACGCAAAGTGCATACAAACACGCTAATATGCATCAACATGTAGGTGAACAGGTACGGGCAGACAGACAAAAGTTCAACGTTCTTACATCGATTGGCTTCTGGCTCGCGGCCAAACACTTCACATTATAATGGTTAGTGTTATACTTCCTTAAATAGATAAACGCTGGTGCGTTTTAAAATCATATCCTCTTCCAAATTGTATTATTTCAATTTCTTGGGGTTAATGCCAATAGACAAACTGTATCTCTATAACAGGCTATGTGAGTTAAACTGCACATAGCATTTATTCCTCAATAACATATTTTATTTAGTAGCAGTAGAGCTCCTTGTGAAAGAGTTGGTCCACGGAAGTACTGCCACCTTACTTCTGCCGCCAAGCAGTAATGTGATCATTACTGCGTTACGGTTTTGAAGGGCCAACTGGTGAAATTAGTCTTGGCAGGGACTTGTAAACTATGTCTCAGGGTGATGGCAGTGGCCCTGAGATCTTCGCGATTTAATGTCTGATTATGATGTCTGAGTCGCACTGCACCTGCTGTGGGCAGGCGTGTCGCTTACCACCAGGCGCATGACTTATTCGTCCCGCCACTTAGTATCATAAAAAATACATGTTCTATTGTATATACTAGCATTAAAAGGAGCGTCGCTTCGACTTTCTTCTCGCATATTTTATGAAAGCCTTTTATTGGCTATGAAATACGGATAACGTAAGTTTCATTACAGCCAATTTTCCTGAAAGCTGGTTGTCAGTAAACTCACGTTTGTTTGCAAAAATAGATGACGATAATGAGAATAGAAGAAACCTTCTATCTCTGATATATCTCTAGATTATTTATAGAGCCTAAAACAACCTAGTGCCTACATGTTAGTATCACAATATCATTTCGCTAAAGATAGAGACCACATAGCAACATCAATACGTCGTGGAATTCCAATAGCCACAGACATTATAAAAAAACAAATAACCGGAACAGTGAAGTATAAAAAGTAAGTAATTTCTCTACCTGGAAAGCAAGATAAGACTACTTAAGCCATTGTTAAAAAAAAAATACACTACCCAAACGTATACAACGTGTTGTAACATCTTGTCATTGAAAGGTAAAGAATAATGGAATTGTGATTATTTTCCCATGATTGTTTAATGCACCTATTGCCACCGTTCGGATTTACAAACTATACATCTACCATGAGTTTACAGTTTCAATGATCGCTAATATCCGCCTGAAGTAGTTCGCTGATTTGCTGCTACACCGACGCAATTGTACTTCTAGCAATTTTACAGGGGATAGATTTGAAATGATTTTTTCAATTTATTTTAAATACCTGTGTGAATAAAACGTCATGTATTTATATGTATTATACACTAAGTCCAGAATATAACCAAAAATAGAGACGAAATAAGGATCATCCAACCCTGGCAACTCATCAGGCAAATGGGCCTTTTATCACTTTTGAATATCAACTCTCCTTTGCACTGAAATCACAAATTAGAAAGCTGAAATAGTACAGCGCCAACAAATGACCTGTGTATATGGCTCCGTATATTCCAAAAATATTCTGTATTTATTGTAATAAAGACATCTCTAACTATGGGGGGCAGTTCCATTCGGTGGTGTGGCAAAAACAGCAAAACATCTAATTACAAAACAAGCGGAATCACATTTCCTCGGTAATTTATAATTTTTTAATATATTATAAATTACCGTTTATTAATTTTTTATTATTTAAATATAAATTTTTAATTAAAATATGTAATTTTTCAATTTTCGTCCATTATAGCAAAGCTCAACTTAACAACAAGCTTAAAACTAACGTATTTCCTTAAAATTTTCTTATTTATTTTTGTATGACTGAATGAACTGACTGAGGTAATATTTCATTGAATAAAGAGTTATGGGACATGGTAATTATAAATGTTCTCTCATACCATATTTATCTATAAAGTTGCAAATTTATATCATTTAAATACTTAATAGCAATTTACCCAACCATGCAACAAATGATGAGTGTTTGATTTTTAGTATTTTTAAATGGTTTTCCACACTGTCATACTAAACCACAAAGGCACTATTTTTTATTGCTTTTACCCTAAAAGGTATAGGAACAGCATAAATACACAACTTTGACTAATATGTTTTGATCATGGATGTATTTCTTCATGAGGTCAGCGACATCATGGTGAAAATTGTTCATATTGATGTGTTAAATCACCAATTTCATTTCTCACAGTTCGTTTTAAGCACCTAATGCCTTACAAAAGAACAAAACTAAATTGATTAGATAAATGGAAATTTCAGTATAAAGTATCACACAAGAGAAAAATACAAAAGATTATATTTTATTTTATTTTTTTTATGTAGGCAGCAAACAAGCATATGGCCCGCCTGATGGAAAGCGGTTACCGTCGCCTATGAACACCTGCAACACCAGGGTATTCACGAGCGCGTTAGGACCCTTCTCAAACCCCTTTTGAAGGACTCCATGCTGTATTCCTGCGGGAAAACCCCGACAGGGAGTTCATTCCACAACCTAATTGTACGTGGGAGAAACCTCCTCTGAAACCGTAAAGTACGAGATCGACTCGGTTTCAGAGTGTGAGGATGGACTCTCTGCCGGTGGCGAGCGGTGTGATGATAAAATGTTGCTGTTGGAATGACGTCAAACAGTTTTTCAGAACATTGGCCACTGTACAAGCGATAGAACAGGCATAGGGAAGCAAAGTTTCTCCTCCAAGACAGTGGTTCAATATCGTCTATAAGCACTGGATCGTCAACAATTCTCATGGCACGTCTTTGAACCGGATCAAAGGGCCCAAGCTAGCATCCAGGAGCTCCCGCCCAAAGATGGCAGCAGTATTCCATGAGGAGCCGGTCTTATGACTTATAAAGTAGCCGTCTCTGCTCCGAAGTGAAATACTGCTTAGCTCTGTTGAGCACACCAAGCTTTCTGGACGCCAGATTGACTTAAAATAATAATATTTTGTTCCAAATTTTTTTATGGGGCTATTTATATATAGTTGGTTTCCTATAAAGTCTCAATAACACATACTACTACCCACTAATCACATAAGATGTAAAACAGCCCAGTGGCATTAATATTCTGTGTTTGTCGGTCATTTCAGCACAATTTTTTGCAGATAATAATAATAATGCAATAGTTCACACACTCATAGCTCCGTACTAGGGAAACCGTGTGTCGCGGGTGTCATGGACACACACACACACACACACACACACACACACACACACACACACACACAAACAACCACAAATTACACCCAAATTCAAGAGAAAAATAAACATAGGCCATACAAATATTTCTCCTGTCCCGGAAATCGAACCTGGGACCTCTGCGTGGCAGTCCTGCATGGTAATCATTCGGTCACAGAAGCAATATAAAAGATAACAATGCTTTGACCCATACTTTTTTTACGTGGCTGTTGTTTGTTTCCTATAAAAAGTCTCAATAACTCATACTACTACCCGCTAACTACATAAGATGTAAAAACAGCCCAGTGAAATTAATATGCTGTCTTTTTGGCTCTATACTCAGTCATTTCAGCACAATTTTTTTAAGGATGTTTAGTCAAAATAGTGATTTCAATGGCAACACCACAAAAAATTTGACAGACCAATAATTAATAGCAATGCCAATGCAAAGCTGGAGAGACAGATTATGCAACTGGGCTATCGTGTCCTAGCTTTACAAGAGCAGACTGCAGGAAGTATCATGCTGTGTCAGTCCCTGAGTACAGGCCCTCACAAATATAAACGTAAGAGTAGACACGCAAAAAAGGAAGTATATTAGTAGACTTGACTTATATGTATAATTAAATTCATTCCATACAAACAAACATTTTGACAAATAAATTTCAGTACCATATTGTGCACTAATTTCAACATTTTTTTTCTCTGAGTAATAACTGAGGAAGAGAACCATAACACTCTTTATTCAAATCCACATTAAAGCTGTACAATAGATCTGTTTACGGTACGAGGACTGTCCAGCAGTAATATGATAAAAAAAAAAAGATGTAATATGTCCACAGATGTATAAAATGAAATAAACAATTACAATTCATTTTAAAGCATATTACAATCAATGTAGATCTACAAAAGACAATATATTGTCAACATACAAAGAGTAATATAACAAGTAACCATGAGTACCTAGGCATTCCATTAATTCTAAGAAGTGGGTGTGTTCTCGCATTTAATGTTATTATATAAGGCACTTGCATGTGGGTATTGTCAATAAAATATAGAATATTTGGAAAATTACTACCTATTACCAATAATATTAGATAAGTAATGTACATATGTATATTACAAAAGTAAACTCTGATTTTATTTTTAATTAATATAATGAGGTTTAATTCGAAGATTTCGGCAACGTCGAAGACTTCATAAGACTTCCTTGGCCTTGTACTCAATTAAACAATTTAGTTTTCATGGAAGACGTACAACAATACCATTTATTGAAAGCCTGAAGAATACACAATGATATTCGGTCAGTCTAAATAAAGTCCAGATATGCTGATAAGCGAGTAAACACTCGTAAAAAAGCTAGGTAAGGTAACAAGATACCGAATGTTACGGATATATTTAATACCCTTTAAAATTCGTCGTACAAGGGTAGCATCATGGTTATAAGACTCCAGAAAATGTTATGAAGGTCGTAAGGTCTTTAGGTGGCCAAAAATCACCAAAATATACCAAAAAACATGAATAACACCTACCTCGTAAACGGACCACTCCTTTTCGTAATATGGCCAATTATTTTCTCCACTGTACGCCTATCGCCCTCTCTGGCCGCGTCCAGCAACTCCTGGCCTCTTCCCATGGCCCATTAATGGATGCTTTCACTCACAATAACACCACAAATTCGATCATTTCATTATTTTACAATTCACTTCGCACAACACTACAACTTCATTGATCGAGCCGCCATATTTCACAAATTTTGACATAAGTGAACTCTAGCGGCCAGTGAGAGAATCGATCGCAAGAATGTCTTAAAACGTAACTCGCATCGTTACCAGTTTCACTTTTTACATCAAACGATTTGATTGTGCAGATGAGATCGGCAGCATATCAAGCTACACATTGATGGATCTTCTACCATTGTAGAGGTGATATTCGAACAAAAGCGATGTGCCGTTGACTGTACTTTGGATTGGAAGATTTGCAACAAAATCCTTAATTTGTTTTCACTAAGTTTTTAGTTAATATTCAGAACTTAATTAAGTAATTATTATTGCCTAAAGTAAATACTTTAGGCAATAATGCACGAATTAATCACATTATAAAACTAAACCAAAGATAAAGTTAAAAAAGTAATGACGATGACGGTGAAAAAATATGCATTTTTGTCGTCTTACATCCACGTTACAGTAGACAGGTATTTATTTACTGAACAATATTTATGCGTAGCAAGTTACGTTTTAGTTCGACGTAAAATACACAAATTTTTTGTCGCAGTCTTACTCGCACTTAGTGGCTACTGCTATTTCTGTTACTCACTACTCATTCTTGTTGTGAGTTGCAGTCATACGTTTAATCGTTCTCTAGTACAAAACCATTCATTCATTTAAGCATTCATGCAATGTGTCAAACGCAGAGGAAATGTTTGCAATAAATTATTCTATTTTATTTATCACAAGAAGTTCAGTGAGCCTGGCGTTGTTTTTGTTAATAGAGTGAACTAGTGTTATTTCAAAGTTATCTTGCTTTTTCTCGATAATTTTACAGCGAAAAACAAGTGTACATAAGTATCGATTTTTGAACTGTCAAATGATCAGCTGATTTGAATAGAAAGTTTGTTTGTTTTGTTGGAAATTCGCCAAAAAGAAAATTATTTTCCTTTACTGTTAAGGAACGAGTCACGACTATGGAAATGTTTATTCGATCTCAGTGCAATAAATATGTTTTCGTGTTTGTTTTCTTTGTAATATCAGTTGTAAAATGCGAAAGTAAGTAACCCTTAAGAACAATATTATTATAATATTATAAATAAAGTGTGCCGGTGATTGTTCGTAAGGAAGGCAAAAGAATGTTTTGCATATCTTTATTGTTTTACATATTTAATTAATCTGTTGAACTGGCAACCATTAACCTTCAAACAAATAACGCGGGGCACTTGTAGCAAAATACATTCTTTATTACAAATAATTTTTATAAACACATTTCAGTGTAAGTATATAATATTGGGACTGCAATAAGATGCAATGTCTGTTAAGACAGAAGACATTCTTATGCCGGCTGTCGAGATAACACAAAAGATATTCTGAAATTGTATTGAAGAGAGGGGGGAAAAGGAAGAAAGGGGAACCATACTTTAGATAGGAAAATGATTTTAAACATGTATTGTTCATTGTAAAGTGGTGTAACTTCATATTTCTAAAATACATATTTTTTGCTTAATGGTATTAAGTAGGTACATTTCATTATATCATTCATTATAAAAATTAAGTGACTCCAGTAATTGCACTTAAAACCTATTTATTCATGGAACTAAAACTGTTAAATATTCATTATAAAAGTGAATAAGTGACACAATTTATTTACAAGGAGATAATTCACTTTTAAAATGAACTACACATAACATATGTGAACACAGCTGGAGGAATAGCAAGAGATAGGGTGAAATGGAAATCTCTGGAAGAGGCCTATGTCTTAGGACAAGCTGAAGTTACTGAGTGAACACAACAGATCTGAAAAATATTGAGTGCTGTTGTATGGTTTTATAATGGATAGGTTAGTACGTAAGTATGTTTCTGTTAATCACCAATAAAGGCTACCTAAATTAGGTAACTGTTAAATAGACTATTATATTTCTAAGCTCCAGTTTTTTTCAAATATACATAGTTCAGAGTCTTGACACACTTGTATTTTTCATAGATTGACCAAAATTTTATCATGTACATAAGTTGACAAGTCTCATGTGCATGTAATTTCGCCAGCACACTTACCCTTCAATACCGGAACGCAATAATGCTCACATTACTGCTTGGCAGCAGAAATAGTAAGGTGGCAGTACTTCCCTGGACAAACTCTTTCACAAGGAGGCTCTTCTGATACTGGTTTATTTATATTTGAGTTGTCTAAAATTATCTTTGTTTTTCAGATGCAAATATAACAATACCTCTAAACAAAACAATAACGCAAGACAACAGAGAATTATTTGGTGGTTTTGTAACCATCAAAAGCAATTCGACTCTCCAAGTAAATTTACAAGACGACTTTGATAAGAAAGTAGTTTTCATTATATTCCAAGTACATAGCCACATTTATAATGTAACTTTGTACAATAACACTGGTGGAATAAACACTCTTGGGTCACATATATATGGCACAAATTTAGGACTGTACTGTCCTGTCAAACCAGCATTGGATACATATTATATTAATAATATGAATACGAAAGATTTAAAACTGTATGTAACTGTTCATGGGTACAGGAAAATAGGTATGTAACATCCTTATTTTCTCAGCTCTATTGTGGTTTTTAACTATTTTAATTATCAATAAAAATTATATTTGTACCTACTCCTGGATCAAACTACGAAATTCCCTGGTATTATGAGTGCCTGTTACGAAATTAACTAGTGTGGCTAGGATATCCAGTTATAAGCGGCCACAGAACACCTAACCCGGGTCCATTTTAAGTAAACTTTTATTTTTATTTTCGGCAGTGGTCTTACTGAGAATCGAATTTGGGACCTTTTGAGCAAACACCCTTATGTCTCGGCCACGGAAATATCGCCACGTTTAAAGCGTTATTCGCTGAGGGCGTCAACTTTGAAGCGTCAAAATACACCCACGTTAGTAATTCGCTCTTCGGTGGTGGGAGGAATAGTTCAGTTCATTACAATCACGCGTAATTAATACACGTGAAAATGTGGCTGTCAAAATTTTCTAAATATTATTATTTTAAAAAGTAGTACTATTTTTTCGCAAAATATAAATTTGCGACAAGGTGTACCTCACTATTTAAATAGAGAAAGAATACGATGCCGTGAATTTCATAACGTATATAAAGATATAAGACCGTTATAAATTCTTCTATATTCAAAATTAAGTAAGCGAAAAGCAAATAAAAACAAAGTAATTTGTTTTAAATGCTGACGCGCAGAGCGACCACTTCTGTTGGGGTGCGTGGAGCCTACTATATCTTTCTAATATGTGCGTGAAGCGACTGTTTTGTGCAACAATTGTTCTGGCCGCCCGCGAAAAACGCACGCTCCTCTGACTTACCCCACTAGTAAAGTATTTTTCAGGGTCTAACTAAAACATAAAATGTACGTTACTTCCTTAGCCGTAACGTCTTTATGTAAAAATATGTGTTACCTAACTGCTTTTCCGGACTGATGACAAAATCCAATTGTCTAACGTGCCGTTTATTTCGAATATTGACAAATTTTAGCAATATATGTGAAAAGCATTTTATAGTCCTCATTAATACCTAAAACTTTCTAATAGTCAATTTTTCCGTATAAGAAATAAAATCGGAGTTATGTTATAATCTTTATCGCTCTCCTGTAAAATTGTCCAAATGCACGTTAGCTTTTTGTCTTTCCAGCGTCGATATATTTGTAATTAACGCTCGACGCTGACGCTTGTAGCGTCAAGCGAATTCGCTAGGAGCTTCGCTACTCGTGTCCCTGGGGTTAGTGCTAACTGCTGGTTCCCCAAAGTCAATATAGTATGTGATTATTATGGAGTTTACAAAGATATCAAGTTACAAATAATTAGAGCAAATTAAGATAACTTTACATTTCTCAACATGTGTAATGCAACATGCATGTCAACACAATATATTGTGGCCTCATATCTGAAAACCTTTGGGTTATACGTAGAGAAGATACTAGGCATATATGGTTTCTCAACAGTCTGTAGGTAACATAGATATTAAGTTCTCAAAATATTTACCCGTTGTTTGGACAGTCGCAATAAATAATCTAATCGACTTACATTCTTGTAGATCCAATACCAGGAGGTTGTAACCTAGACCTACCTATATATGTGTCTCCATTCATGATTTTATCTTACGACAAAGCCCTAATAAACATAGGGGCGCCACCTCCTCAAGATGTCAAAATAAATCCGAACTGCAATATGGTGGAAGGGAATACTGGTACCACAATATCATTTTACAAAATGTTCTTACCAGAAAAAGCTCTCGATGAAAATACTTATTTTGATGGGTTAAGAAAAATGTTAACATTGGACCACATCAAAGAAAACGCTGTAGAGGTAAGTTTATTCGCGGGTATACGTCAATGTCAAATTTTCTCTCCTGTGTTCTGTAATAATTATGTCCCCTACGTCCCCCAAGGACTATGAGCTCGTTTTATAGAAAGAGAGTATATTTTATTTTTAATGGCATATTTTTAAATATTTTATTACAATTAGTGGCAGTGGGCGGGGCACATAGCTAGGAAGACCGATGGTCGTTGGGGCGGAAATGTTTTTCAATGGTGACCGCGCACTGGACGACGCTCAGTGGGTTAGCCCCCCACCAGGTGGACCGACGATCTGGTAAAGGTGGCGGGAAGCCGATGGATGCAGGCAGCGCAGGACCGATCGTCGTGGAGATCGTTGGGGGAGGCCTATGCCCAGCAGTGGGCGTCGTTTGGCTAAATGATGATTTTTAAATATTGTGCAATGAATTGGGCGCACATATCCGCGTCTCACACACTTCAAAGCAACCATGATACCATTTTGCCTTAAAAGTGTGACGGGTGACGTGTTGCAAATCGATCGAATGCAGCATATTTGAGAAATAGGACTACCAATGTCACATGATGGCCCCCAAAAGAGAATACTTACAATACACAATAAGTAATTACTGATACTAACTGTAACTGACATATTCATGACGTACCCTCAGCACAACGAGTTACGGTTGCTTACTTACGGTTTTAAACAAAGGCCAAAGAACTTATGGGAAACAGTCAATTTTAACAGAGCGTGGTCAACGCATATCTTCTAGAAGCATCTGTTATAGAAAATAATATCCAAGAACATTATTTCACTATTGCAGGCAATCTTAATATTGAAATCGGACACCTAATAATGCACATCTGAATTACCTCAGTTATGGTTACATTGACACTAATTGTTTAATTGTAACATGCCCAGCAACTGGACTGTGAAGTTCTCTATCTACGTTAGGAACTAGTATGGAATGGTTGTCCACGTAGAATACACATGTAAGCTAGGTTACATCAGGATGACCACGTATAACAGGAACATGTGTGGGCCTATGACGCCTTCTTGAGAGACACCCGTACAGTTTTCAATAATTATGACCTGAATTTTCAGGAATAAAAGTTTATTATTTACAAACATTGCTCTCGATCTTTGACGTAACTGTTCAACCATGCTAAAGCCGTAGTTCACAACTGTTTAATGGTCTAGTATGAGACACAATGTCAAATGCTTGGGTCATATCACAGCAAATTTCTATTGTGAGTAGACTAGTATCAGAGTATCTAGTAGTTACTTGGCACTTGGTGTAACCGGCTGGTGTCCGCAACTCGACGTCAAGGCGCCTATTTTGCGTGTGGAACTGATTAATTAATTAAGTTTGAATCTAGTACTTATTGAAATTTTTGCTGATACAGTATCAGTTGTAGATTTGCCTTTTCACATATTTTATGTCAAAATCCGTAATACATATAAATATACTCCCGGACACACAATTCGAGCCACCTCGCATTTTTGTCGTAAAGGGCTAGAATACAAAAATAGTGTTATCATCGAAGAAAAAGTATTCCCGGTTTTGCAAACCCAAATTCCCGATAAGGACTTATGGAAATGACGTTTAGTATACTATTTTCAAAACTGCATAATAGTTTTTGATCAATCAAACATTGTTTAAGCTTAGGGCACTTAATACTGAAAATGCGTGGTGGCTCGAATTATGTGTCCGGGAGTGTAATACAACTTCGTTAATAACATATATGTATAACGCAACATTTTCGACGCCTCTCTTTGGGGGTTATTAAACCACAAATTTTGGTCTACGATTTTCACAAATTCGATCTAAGATTTTCGACTTGTCGTAAGATACCTGTATCAGATGTTTATCGATTTGTACGGAAAGTAAAAAAACCTGTGTAGGTTTCTAAACTCAGTTTGTTGATGCTTGTTTTCATATGAATGCCGGGATAAGAAGTTTCGTGTGTATTAAAAATGAACTGTATATTTTAAGAATAATTTAGTTTTTAGCATTGCTTTCTTTTCGTAGATCCCCGAACAGCATCTTCCAAAACGACCTATCGCCAGAATCCGCCGCTCTCTAAGCTCGTACCTAGGCACTGGAACTGTCTACGTAGCGGTTGCATATAAGATCTCAAATCCAAAAATGTATTCTGTGTATGTGCCTACTTATACCTATGCATGCTCACCTCTGGAAGGGAATTGCAATATTTTGGGTAAATAATAATTATTACACTTTGCTTAATCAACATTACAACAAGTTGAACCAGTACTTAAGAAACCTTGATTAGTATTATGAATGGTCTTTGTGAAGTATGTAGATGTTTTTCGAGAGATAAAGACATTTCCTATAACGCAATTACTGTAATATACATATGTCGATAGAAAGAAAAATATAAAATTAACTACTGTGCTCTCCACGGAAATATATTAGTACGGTTCTTCTTCATACTTCAGGCTTTGTGGTGGTTTGTATTTTGCGATAAAACTACATCAGCCGTTCCATAGAATGTGGTCATATTTTCGATAGATCATATCTACTACAACTACAACTAACAAAATTTATACATCAACTGTTCCATAGTATCTGGTCGTATTCTCGATTTATAAACCGATATTTTTTTTTTCTTTACGCCTATGCATAGCAGTTGCAGTGTCACTGAGCTTTTAATCGCAAAGATCGGAGGGTCACTGCCACTGCACCCGTCACCCTGCGACTTAGTTGACGAGTCCCATGAAGGCAATAATGCTCGCATTGTAACCGCTTGGCGGCAGAAATAGATAAGGTGGCAGTACTTCCCTGGACGAACTCCTTCACAAGGAGCTCTACTGCTACTGGTTTTGTACCTACTGTTTGGTGTTTTCATTGATGTCTGTTAATACAGTACAACCTTCCGAATACGCACTGGTTCTAAATAGATAGATATATTTTAAGATTTTAGGCATCGATATAATCCGTTACATTTTTCAGACGATATTGTATCAGAAATATTTTGCGCCACGCTGATATTCATCGGCCTATTCACATGCTTTTTCGGCCATCGTTTCTTCAAGACTGAAATGTTTCTAGTCGGAATGTTCACTGGTGTTATAATAACGTACATATTGATCTCAATTATTAGCAGTCACATTAGCGAATCGGGTGAGTGTGATTCATTTAAACCTACGTCATTGGATGTTATTTACCTTATTTTGGCTATATTGGGTGGTTTGATGTTTCAGTCCACATGTAGGTACTGCAGGAATTTAGATTTCCTTAAAGCTATACTGGACAATAGCTACATTTTTTCTTCTAATTAGTTATTGAAAAACATGTCCAAACACGTTGCATTTATAATATATATAGTATATACGTAGCGAAATTCAATTTCGATTTTTGTTTGTGTACTCGACATGTGATTTTTGAGGGAGGCTTATGTTCAGCTGTGGACGTCTTTTGGCTGAAATTCTATAATAATTCATTGTAGTAATTTAACATTTTGGAAATATACTAATATGTGTTGTCAAGTTTAAGGGCAATAATTATAAAATTTGAACAAACGTTTTCGCAGATGTTTCTATTGCTGTATCAAAGCACGTGACTTTTATATTGATTTGTAATAAAATTTATTTTTGACCTCTGATGAATCGGATCACTCAGAAACAAACTTTGTTGGCTGAGAGCCGAGGCTTTAGTATATGGATATTTACTTCGTATTCGTATTAGGGATGCCGCAGACGTCTGCATCCGCAACCCCTTTATCTATATGTTTTTAAATATCTGCTTCCGCATCCGACATCCAAACCAATCGATACTAAGTTTTTGCGGATACGGATGTCTTGCAGGTCACGACAAGATCGTCGGGAGCAGGCTCTATTCAAAGGACATGCCGAGCACTAGTGCTATTATAATTAGCTAACTAAGGATCGAGAATTCGGGAGCGTGTAGTGCAGGCAACGACCTGTTTGTTATCTAAACAAAAATTATTGAGTTTACATTGACAGTTATGAAGTATTTCGTTTATACCTGTGCCTTCTATGTTTCATCTGTTTTAATACATTTATGTAAAATTACTAGGTTTTACGTAAATTAAAGATAATTCAATGATGATCAAATCCACAATTAGCCACATTTATTCTGGAAAAAAAACTTTTTTCGCACATTCGCATTTGCAGATGTCGTCATAAAACACATCTGCGGCATCTTCGATCTCCATATACCAAAGCCAACTTCATTACTAGGTTTCGTCATGAGTGTAGTAATGTAAGAAATAAGTTCCCTACCCGAAGCACCTACCTATACAGGCCTAAGTGGATCTATATTGTTATGAGTTTCAATTTATTAGGTCTGGAAATACTAAAATTATTATTTAGTGATTCTGTTTTTGATTTAGCTTTGCTCGGAGCATCGCTTCTGTCTGGTGTGTTTTTCGGAGCAATATGGTTATTGTTCTGGTGGTTCTACGGCATACCTGTAATGTCTGTGTTTCTTTGTACGTTACATCTTGGATTTATGCTCTCTTCTATAATTTACTTTGGAATGCCACGTGAGTATAGATTGGTTTTTAAGCTTTATAAACTAGTTAATACAAGCTTCAAGCATAGATAAATAGTGTAGTAGGTACTTGTCTTACATTTTCAAATTTGAGTTATAATATTAACGACACCTATTTTAACCGAATCGTTCGATTGGATATCGGTCTCGAAGCGAAGAGCGCTTTCCGAGCTATTCAGAACATTCGAGTTAAACATTCGATTCGGATTCGGTTACGATATCGTTATCCAACAGCGTTTAAGGAGTTATTCGGTGAATAAGATTATAAGAAAAATTAAAATCCTTTTGTATACGTTTTTAAGGGCCTAAAATATAGGAATGCATTGGTCTTGCATTAAAATAAATTAATAAAATTGAACAAAATTCAGACTTTATTTAAAATAATAAGAGATTTCCATATTACATTCTTGCTTTCTAAACAATTGGACGTTCGGTAACTTTCATTCGATAACTGTGTTCTGAATAACATTTGTAGTCATTGCCGGTCAAGAAGTTCGAGTAATAGTACGGGGTGTGACGTCATTTCGGTTCGGTTTCGAATACGACAGTTTGATGTTCGATTCGAGTGTTGTGAATAAAAATGAAAAGAAATCGTACTATATCAAATCGAATCGGTCGACAACTGAATTATCGTAAGGTTCAGAATCAACCCCCTGTTCTGTTTATATTTTGGTTTTCGTCTCTTTATTTTCTTTTTCACAAATGGCTATAAAAGAAAGAAAAAACAAAATTGGAATAAGAAATTCGTATTTTGTATTATTTTTCTGTATTTTTTTTCATAATATTATAAAATAAACAAATAAATTATTTACTAAATACTAATCTAATAACTAAACTAATCTATTTACAAAAATAACAGAAAATGCTCAAAAACTGAAGTTGGCGTAGTATTAACAGGAGGTATCGATAATGTACCAGACAACCACACTGCATCGACGGCTGAGAGAGAGACAGAGATAGGGAGTCAAACAAAGACAGACAGAGAGAACCAATATTCTATTCTCTTGAAACATTAGGGCTCTTTTGATTTCGAGAAACTGACTAACTACGATACTAAGTACATATACATATGTTAGTTTCTACATTGTGTCTAGGTACCGAAACTAATTGTCTTTGATTAATGAATATCTAAAATAAAATTGAACTTGATTTCTATGGAGCAAGTTTGCAGGACTGTCCTCTTTAACCCTTGTATTTAGGGCACAATTTTAGTCACGTCAATAACATAATTCTATGCCATATACAGCATTGAAAGAGGGTCATAATATGTTACAAACGAATCCTGGTAGTTGGACAAACTCGCGGTGTTTTACATTTTTGTTTCATGCTTACGTGACTAGGAACCACAGCATATGCCTATGAATTTATCAGCATGTTGTCCTTGTTACTTGTGCTATAGCACTCTTACAGAAAATAAATTAAGGCTCAATTCATATTGCATAATAAAATTTATGTCAATTAGTGTAATATATAAACTAGAGAATACTATATTGTACTACCTACATGTTATATAAATTAAAAGAGTGAATAACTGTAGGTTATGTATGTAAATAATTAACTGTGTTTGACTGTTGCATGTGGTGGCAATCTTTAATTAAGTACTACACCATTTGTATTGTATAATCAAAATAGTATGTATTAAGTGTATGCGTTGTTAGTTGTCCTAAATAAATAAAATAATAATAACGCACACACTCAACATAACCCCAAACTAGGGAAACCCTGTGTCGCGGGTGCCATGGACACACACACACACACACACACACAGACATCCACAAATTACACCCAAACTCACGAGAGAAATAAATGTAGGCCATACAAATACTTCTCCCAGCCCAGAAATCGAACCTGAGACGCAAAGATCCACCGTCATCACCACACGCAGACGTGGCAGTCCGGCATGGTAACAGTTTGGTCTCGAAGGCAGGTTTAAAAATAAAAATAAATAGATACGAGCCTAAAAGCGCGTCGCGCGTCTATCAGAGACTTCTCGCGCCGTCTCGGGAATTTCCGGCAGATCGTATCTAGTTTGTCGTTACACAATTGCTATGTTAGTATTTTATGCAATCGTTGCAAATAAGGGTTATTAAAGTCGAGTACGTACGAGATTTTGAGACCTATTTCTGTAATGATTGCATACAATACTTTTTCTACGAGTAAATTAAAATAATGAAATACAACCAATATTTAATGTATATTTTGTTATTTACTCATGACAACAAACTCAAACGAAAGCCTACAAGCAAGACGCTACAAAACAAAACAATGGGATAGAATAGAAGTGTCCGTGATTGGCCTACTGTACTAAGTACCTACCGCTTATATTTTAACAAATCAGGAGGAAATAGTGCGTTGGAATAGCGTCACTTTTAATATTTTATACATTGTTCTTAAATAAATAGTTATTTTTGCCAAATTACGCTTTTATACCTGCTATGTAACATTTTGTGATATTATTGAATAAATTAATTTGAATTCTTAGTTTTTCGCGATTGTTACACATAGGAAATGAACTATTTACCCTTTACTGGTCTTTTACAGGTACCGTGACCATGGGACCTGTAAATGGCCCGAAACGTTGCTTTATTTGAAAAACAAATATAAGCGATTTACATCCGGAAAAATAGTTTCATTTCCTATAAATAATTTGAATTTTAGTAATTTCACAAATATAGTGACATTATTCTGTTCAGGAACACAGTGACGCATTTAAGGGGACTCTTTTAATTAGCAAAAATACGACATTCTTTTTTGTAACTCTATTCAATATACAGAAGTATAATGAAATGTTTCAGTCCAGGGGCCTTACCATGAACTCTTATTATCTACTATTCAATTTAGAATCTAAAATGAATTGTTGTAAGACAGCGCTACATAAAGTGTATATCACTTTTTTGTCGTTACGAACCTATACTGAACTGTAATAAGAGTTCATGGTAAGGCGCGAATAGCGAGTAGGTACTATAGACAGAATTGTGGTTCATATCACAAAAGTGATTTGGTTTATGAAATTATAATTGACAGATTAACGTACCTACAGAAGTAGAAAAAGTTCATTATTCAAATTCAAATTCAAAAGACTTAATTAGAAGATTCGAATAAAGAGGATTTTCTAGAGAAAATGTAGGTACTTGCCTCACAAAATCTATTATTTTTCAGCTGGCCACTTAATCTTTGAACAAAATTCGACATTCTGGACTATTTTCGTAGTCGTAATGTTATTCACATCAATCACTCTGATCACAATGACGTTCCTGTCCAACATATTCTGTTGTGCGGTCCTCGGCGCGTACGCAACTGTCTTTGCATTGGATCATTACATCGGATCTAACTTGAAGTATATTACAATCAATACTCTGAGACGGGCCGTGGTGGATGATTTTAATTATGCTGATTTGTCACCTCCTTATCAATGGAGAGGTAAGTTTTATTTATTGTCATAGACAAATTCCGTTTCAACTGTATTTTATGTGCAGTAAAAGCTACTTTAAGTTGTCGACATATCGCCCCACCGCCGAATAAATGTGTAAAGGAAAAACTGCAACTTTACAGGAGCGATTAAAAAATAATATTACTTGGTATTAATGGTCATTAGATGCAATGTAAAATTTAAGATAAAAAAACATTATATCTTATATTAAAATATGAAACACGGAAATTTGTCAGTTTATCAGAAACTAATAAAGAACCCTTTTAAATTTTTATTGTAGTAAAAATTACTTTGGCGGATGTTTACACTATTATTCGTGGGAAAAGTTATATTTTACTTTAAAATGTAACATAATATTACTATATTTTACTATAGATATTAAGATTTGTCAATGCAAATACTATGCAGTTACGCGGTTATTCTAGTAATTGGTAAAAAATTTTAAATGTGCGAAAATGCACGAACAATATTAGAAAGTTATTTTGTGATAAACATGCAAGAATCGATAGTATGTAAAATACATACTTGCTATATTCGTGCTAGATTGTACGTTTTATTTTCCGTAGAATAAATATTGGAGTACCAAATAATCATAAAAATAATTGGAAAATAAATCTGAAAAAAATTACGAAGTGTTTTTGAGCGGGAGAATCCGAAAATGCAAAAAAATACTGTAAAAGCTTGTACACGACTATTTCTTTTTTAGTGCCATCGATACCTATTATGAATTCTATAACAGCGCTATTTCAAGTGTTTTTGCTACAAAGCTACAAATATACTGAGAGGTATATTTCCCAATTTTTACATTTATAGCACCGATAATTCAAAAGTGAAGGGGGGACGCTTTAAAAACGACTTTGATAATTAATATAGTCGAGATTTGTGCATTTAACGTCTTTGGCCAATGATACAACATGAATACAACCCTTCCCAACAGGGTAGATGTATCACTAGTAACAGGTTTCTTACCACGGTATAACTTCTTTTTATTTTCCCGATATTTCGGAACGGTTGCACGCTCCATGGTCACGGGTTGACTGATATACCGTGGTAAGAAACCTGTTACTAGTGATAATCATTTAGTGAATAACCACGAAAGTCTTAAAATCTATATAGGGTAGATGTACTTTTTAATTCACTTCTCATTGGGTCTTGCAATGAGTCAACAACATGTCTTAACACAAAACTTCATGAAATATACAGTGCGGTGTGTAAGCATTAGCTACTTAAAAACGTAAGCGAACAGTACATAAATAGGTACCTCGTGCATTTGCAGCGAGTGCATAAGTACCTACTTAATTCATTAACACCGCGTGCACATGTACCTAGTGCATAAGTACCGAATACGCAAGTAACAAACTGCATTAGCACCGAGTGCATAAGTACGTAAGCGCCTAGTGCGTAAGTACTGAGTGCATAAGTATCTAGTGCATGAGCACCGAGTCTATAAGTACCTCGTGCATTACCTAATATATAATTACATTTTGAATTGCTGTGCGTCATTACAACATTTGACACTATTCTTTTTCTTTACAGATGTAATGTCAACGCTCTTCTGGGTGGCCCTCGCGATCAGTGGGTTTCTGTTCCAACACTACCACAACCGGGGCAGATCGCCATTCCCCCCGCCGCCCCGCAGTATTACGCCGCTGAATCCCGACTCACACATTTATAATAATTATGGCAGTGTTACTGGCAGAACTCGACGGTAAGTTTGTCTTAGTACAAATATTTCATTTATGTTTGGATGTCAATTCCACAGGTGCATTGTATCTTGCATATTCACCCGATGTTAAGCGAAGACGTAACCGACGATGGTATGTACGCGTTTGCTTAAAAAAATGCCTATTCACTTTAGCCTTGAATAGCCCCAAATTGTAGGTACTTTTCGGAAGTCACAGATGCTGGTAGAGTATTCCATTCCTTTGCCGTACGCATCAGAAACGAGGAATCAAAACACTTAGTGCGAATGGGTGATATATCATTGACATAAGGATGGAGTATTCCGGACCTTCTAATCGACCGATGGAGGAACGGTGAGAGTGGAACTAAATTGAAAAGTTCCTGCGCACTCTCCCCGAAATGTTGTTAATAAGTCTCTTTGCTTTTCGCTCTACCAAGCCCAGAGTAAGACGCAAGTGCCTGCCACTTTACTTACGTCATCGCTGCGCGTACACATGCGCCTTTCGGTGTTGGTTTTCCATTTTAGCTTACGTATATTAGTCTAAAAATGAAGAGACAAAACAACGAGAATGAACTAGATAGATAGGTAGACTCAATTAACAGATCTAAAATAATCTCAGTGCAGAGTACTAGAAAAACCCATCTCAAAAGTACGTGGAATTTCGTCTATTTGTCAAGTTGTATTGAAATATCCCCTAGTTCGACACTGTACAGGACTTGACACTGGAGATAATAAAAATCGGTTCTCACTACTCAACAAGTATATTGAGAGAGAAAAACGCCTTGAATTGGAGAAACAGCAAAATCAACCATTAAAATAATTGCTCCTTATAATAAAATTTTGCCGCTATTTATAAAAATGAATCTTCATGCGTGAACAGCCACCCTTAGAGGTGGATGATTTTCATCAAAATGAAATGGAACCACTATGGAGGAACCCTTTTTCCAACAAAAAAAGAATCATGAAAATCGATTCACAAATACCGGAATTATCGCGTAACATACCTCCTCCTTTTTTTGAAGTCGGTTAAAAGTAGGGAATTAATTGTACTATAACTAGTAGAGCAGGCAATTCACTCCGGGACACTACCCAAAAGATGCAGATCAAGAACCAATTTAAATTCTTTTCTCAAATTGGTGTTACCGGGAATCGACGCCGGAGCCGCTTCATCTTGCGCTCACAATGCTAACCACTAGGCCACTAAGGTTGCCAAACCAATCCAATTACACCATTTTCATTTTGTTAGTATTAAAGTTGACTTTCAATTTGTTCTTTTAGAACTTATGAAATGGAAAGGTCAATGTCAAATGACAAGATGATTGTCATGACTTAGTAAAATACTTTGACTTACGTTTTCAATCTAGAAATTTAAACTTTTATGCAATTTCAAATAACTTTTTAATACTGTTGCTCAAAACGTGGTATTTCTCGTGCTACAAATCGTGGCAAAAATTTGGATTTTTCGCACTAGTGCTTTTTACTTTTCCATTTTTTTTAATTTACTGTTGTTTCAAGTCTTAAACATACAACTAAAGAGGTTGTAGATTTATCTAATATATAAGTGCTTTGTGACGTAAGTCATTCGTCATTAAAACTTATATTTACTTACTCTTAATCTTATTTATTTAAATTGCATAGGCGTTTTATAAAACAACGGGTTACATTGAAAAATACCAAAATATTTTCTATAAAGATGGCTGATTGAGTATTAACAATGGCCGGAGGTGAGTATTACGTGAGACCGCTGCGCGCCGCGCCACTAAAATAGTAATTTTAATGTGGCTGAATACTGGCAACAGTTGCCATTGTACTCTGAATTTTTATCAGACAAAGAAATAAAATTTGTTTTTTTTTAAATACTGTTTTATTTTACTTTCAATATATTTTTTTTCGCAAATGTATTAAAAAACGTCGTTTGATACACGTACGGATTTGTCATTTTCACTTGTCACTCTGAAGCCTCGAGACTTGTGAATAATGACTAACTTTCCGCACGTGTATCAAAAATAATTATTACGAAACTCATCAACTTTAAAGTTCGCATTTATCTAGACATTTCCACAATAACTTTACATGAATTGTAATAAATCTGGCAAAATTCCGATTATAAATATGAATTTCATAGTGTTTATCTAACCGATATGCCCATTTGGTTTTACTTTTCTGTGTGAATTAAAGCGACTTTAAATTAACTGTATAAAAAGAAGTAGTAGCAGTAGAGCTTCTTGTAAAAGGTTCGTCCAGGGAAGTACTACATTACTGTGTTTTGGTTTTGAAAGGTAAGGGTGGTGGTGAAATTACAGGCACATGGGACTTGTCAACTTATGTCTCAGGGTGACGGGCGTAGTGTTAGTGCCCCTCAGATCTTTGCGATTCAAAGCGCGACTGGCGTGTAGCTTATCATCAGGCGCACGACTCGTTCGTCCCGTCACTTGATATTATAAAAAAAGAAATATAGCTCTCGCCACTCAGGATAAAAAGGGGTTCTGGGTCCCTCGGAGATGTGCTAGAACACCACAGTAACGAACCACAAAGTGTCACTAAGACATTGACGAAAGAAAAGAAAGAATGGTTGCTGCAGAGTCCTCCGAACCTCTTAAGTATAAAGGCACTGGAAACTACCAGTTAGCAATGTAAGAGGCACGTAGCTACATTTTGGTTTAAGATATTTAGGTAAATTTTAGTTCTTTTTACTTTTAAGTTAAATTACTGTATCCCGTTTTTGAAGAGTTACGATGCTGGTGAAGTTAAAAGCACATGAGACTTGTCAATTTATGTCGCAGGATGTCAGGCGCAGTGGCAGTGCCCCTAAGATCTTTGCTATTTAAAGCTCTGAGTAACACTGCTACTCTTACGGCTAGGCGTGTCCCTTACCACCAGGCGCACTACCTATTTGTCCCGTCGCTTGGTGTCATGAAATAAAAAGTATATTTCATCAAACTTGCTTGTAAATGGTATAATTGCATGGTGGCCAACTTGACTGTAATGCCCCAAATAAAAACCACGGGCCTTTTCTTTCCCATTACAGCCATGGTCGGTAAGGAGTTTTTTTTAATTTGTAGCACGACATACTTCCTTACATAGGTTCAAGTTCAGGTTCAAGTTCAAAGAAGGAGGTTACTTAAGTTCAAAATTAAAACATGCGCTTATAATGTTATCTAAATGGGAAGTTAATTGCAATCAGCCACATATTACTTATTTACTTATTATTAAGAATTTCTTATAATTGGTTTTAATTCTTTTCTGTATAAAAATTTAGCAAATTTTTAGTACGATCCATCATGGCTGTATGCGTGTTTGCTTCTTACAACATTTTAGATAAAGTTGTATTATCTATAGAAGAATTAAAAAGAAAAACAAAAAACCCGCCAATTGCCAAATCCATAATTGTTGTATTGTGATAGTTGTCAAACATATTTGTGTTGTATTTATTTACTCACAAATGTGATGAAAAACATTGTACGTATCACAGAGGGTAAAAAAATACAAAACTCGAGTTATTAGAGCCCTCAGCCTCTAATAGACCCTCTTTGGTAGTTTCTTATTTACCATCCTTAATACACAATGTACTATTAAACTGTACTACGCAACGCTATTATAACATCTTAATAGTAACAGTTACCATAATAGTAACATTTCCTGTTTCCAGACTGTTCACAATAGAGAGAGGCACCGATGTCGCCGAAGAACGTGCTCCCTTAATTAGCGAAAATATACCTAGAAATACACTATGAAAGACACAGGTAAGACAGTAGTACAAAATTTGTATAATAGTCATATTTTGTGGAAACTTTGACTTCACAATATTAAGTTTTAAGCAGTAATGTACTTATAATGAAATTGTAATTTCGATCTCATATCACTTATTAAAATTCCTATTTACGACAGATTTAACAAAGGGAAATGGACAGCAAAATATAGAATCAAACTTTTTGACCGGAAACTCTGTACAAAAACACATAAATATACACATAAATGTCAACGCCAAACCGGAAAGACAATATCTATGTTTGCAGGCTGTCTTTCAACTTAAAACGGTTAGTTCGCTTGACTAGCCTGTAATAGCAATTAACAACATACCATTCCAAATAATCTTCATAATGTTTTGGTACTATGGTAATATAGCATAAGAAATGCGAAGAGTCACAATTCCGTTTTGTCTTCACAAACAATGAGCGACATAGCAGTCGAAAAGGCTCTTTAGGTAGATTATCTGGTGCTATAATAATTTATATGAATCGTTAGTGTGCTGGGAGTTATAAAATAATAATTCAGACTAAGCACTGAACGACATATCTTTACAGCGTTTTATACAGGGTTATTCAAATACTAACAACCCCGCAGGACTATAATCTAACATCATAAAGAACAACTTTTGTTCCATAACTTTTCGTAATTCATCAGATTTTACTTTTGTGTTAAAGTAAACATGTTTTAATATCACCGTTAACTATGTGCGGTAACAAAAGAAATCGCAATACCAGACCGATACAAAACGCAGGAGCTGGGGTGGGAATCGTCGGGAATGACGCTTGCATGTTGAACCACGGATTTATATACTTTATAAACTGGATCGCTCACTTCGATATATCAATATTACAAATTAACACCTTATTGGGTTATGTTCAGGTTTATTTTAAGTAAAAGTAAAAAACCCAGACACGTGAGATAGCACGAAATAGTGGTATATCCTTGTCTAACAAGTTGCCAACGATAAAAAAAAATCTTCTTAGGTAATGTCTAATCTATTAACTTTATTCAATTTGGTATGTTTGTTTATATGTATGTTTGCTTAAAGGTGATGCTTTTACTGTAATAGTACAAAAAATACTTATATATCAACAATGAAACCTTGTATTATGAAGTAACATATCAAATAAGTATACTAATTTGTATTATGCAATAATATTAGTAGTTTTTGTCATCCATAAGCGGCCACATTTTCTGTAAAAACTAAAAAGCTAAAAACAAGATGGCTGGCTGAAAGATAAATGAACACCCTATTAGAAAGAGACGCATTACTACTTTGAAGCCTTTCACTCGGCTCGTTTTATTAACTGTTAAAAGTGCGCGGTCCAGTTTAATATACAAGTCTGTAGTTTGAACTTAACAAATATAGATGTAAAAAGTATCAAGGTTTGACGTTGGTTCCTTGGCGGAAAGGTCGTTGTATTCTGTGGGACACAACATGTGTAAGCACTTTTGCTGCGTCCCACTTAAGACAAACTTGGCGGGTTCCGCGACTGATAATGCAGCGAAACTAAGACATGCTAAATGATCTGCCTTGGACCCCACGTACGACTTCGTACTGTAGTATAGGCTCTACTCTATGAGTAGAACTACTGGCTGAGTGAATATAGTTTTGTATTTAGAATGTGTTTGAAAAAATAGGTTAGAAAACAAGAACATCTTGAGAGATCTAGAAATAGCCTCCGTAAGAAAACATGACAAAAAAAAACAAAAAAAACAATAAATATCAAGTTATGAAGTGAATCCCAGTTTATATTTCTAAAAGTACCTCTCGCTACGCAACCTAAGCTACGTCTCCAGGTTACAGTACCGACTCAGAGACAGGGGCTGCGATTACCGCTCTAGGTCGTGGTTGGTTCAGCAAGTGTCCATTGCCGTTCAGCGAGGCAATGCTGCCAGTATAATGGGAACTTTTGAGCTGGGCAACCGAGATTTATTTTCTATTTTTTTGTTAGATAGTTTTTTAAGTTAAAATCTCTTGTTATTTTTTATTTTAGTACCTATTGGCGAAGCCCAGTGCTGATCTTTAACTAGAAATATCAATGTAACATTTGTGTTAAGATGGAATAAGTGAAATCTTATCAAAAGTATCAGACAGTACAACAAAAAGTTAAAGGTTTCTTTTTGGTAAAAAGTCATGAAACAAAGGTTGTTGTATAAGATGTTAGTAATATAAGTAGATCTGCGAGGCTGTTAGTATTTTACAAATGACCCTGCGTAGATCTTTTGATGCTATAGGAAGTAATCTGAATTATTGGAATGTGTGTTCGGAATTTATGGAATCTTAAATGTGAAGAATTACAACCTACATGTACCGTCACGCTATGATTCATATGACTCAATTCACTATCGAAAAAATAAAATCAAATGTGAGTCACATATATGTATAAGTTTTTAGATTTGTAACTAGTATTGCAACGGGTAGCTGATTAAAAAGTATGAGTAAAATGAAAATAAACATAATTTACTTAATATATCGAGGTAGAAGTTGTGCTGGCCAGCGATTCCATAAGTGAAGATCGTATTAGATTTCATTTTTTTAAGTTTCAAATTTCGAACAATAAATGCCGAAACGGCCATCATAGCGTGCCGGTCTTCCCTGTCAAGAGCAACGAACATATCATTTTCAAAGAGTTTCTAATGTAGATCATTAGAGAATGAGTTACCTAACTGTTTTAATTAATATAGCAATCGAAAAGTATCTTTATGTTTTATATTAGAAAACCTACATTTTTTTTGCCATTTTGCATTAAAAGTCAAAAGTTAAAGGTTTATTCTTTGAGCATTGCCCTTTATGGAACTCTTCTTATCAAAGTTATGACTTTCATTGTTGCCATGTTTTATTAAATGAGTGAATATGGTATTAACTGAATGTGCCATATTCGACTTTGTTCTTGCCATATAATTATTATCTGTGGACTTTAATATAACAAAACTAAAAGCTATTGATAACTACTTATAGTACAATTTTATCAGGTCTTCTAAAATACCGCACAATTATTTATGAATTTCTCCCTTTTGTAGTATTTAAGATGTTTCCCTACTGGCACATGAGACTTGTGTCTCAGGGTGACGGGCGCAGTGATAGTGCCCTTCAGATGTTTGCGATGTAAAATTCTGAGTGGCACTGGAACTGCTATGGACAGGCGTGTCGCTTACCACCAGGCCCACGACTTGCTCGTCCCGTCTCTTGGTATCATAAAAAAACGTGTGACTGAGTACGAGGGTGCTATAATATAAGTGAAACTAAAAATATCCTTAAAGTCAAAATTACTTTAGTACATAACACTCCTTTTTTCGTCAGAGGTTAAAATAAGTTTATGTTTCCTATGTATGTACAAAATAAAGTTATGTATGTTTTGTTTACCAAAGAAAAATTGTATATCTCTAAGACCATGTCTCAACAACAGCGTACATATATTTGAAATAAATGACGTTGTATTAATCATATTTGCTTGATTTTTACTTAATTTTTTCTAGACTAATATCTCTCGACACGAAAACTTTATTGTAAGGAATATTATGTATTGTCTATGGTCTGTAATCGACAGATTAAAACCCTGTTGTAAAAAAACATTGACCGTTGCAGATCAATGTGAAAAATGCTTTATTGTTTTATTATACCAAAAAGTAAAGTTTGAAGATAATAGATAAGTGGAAATTACGCCACTATAATTTAATGTGTAACAAAGGAATAGGCTTTACGGGCTTGTAGTCTATTAATATTTAAAAAAATATTTTTTTACTTACGTGCTTTAAACTGCCGATCCTAGATACATATTATATATAATTAACATTCTTGTAATTATCTAATAAGTTAATTCCTTTTTATTTAAATAAATTTGTGAAAAATGTTACCTTTACATTTTGCCACAAAATTTTTCTTGGTCTACAAATTATTGTAAGGTAAAGGATAAATCTGTCGAAAATTACTCGGCTGAATTGCGCATCATTCGTCATTTTATTCGATCATAACCATTAACAATGCGTAAAAGTACAATTCCCTAATGTATTACTTTCCATAATTACGCATGCGTCATGTCGATAGTATTTAAGAATCAAATAAATAGTTATCTTCCTGTGTAGTTTTTAATTTTTGCTTATATGGCTCTGTTCGTTTTCAATGTTTTTTTATATTTTAATAATCGAAGAAATAAATCGTTGAAGATTGAAAATTAGAACGCCATATCTAGAACGAAATTTTTAAAACCGCCTGTTTATTTGTGTGCTATATTTGTATGCTCTGTGTTTGTTGATGTGGTTGTATGACTTGGTTATACACTCAAACACTTACAATGAATAATATTTTTCGTTTGTATGGAATTGATTTAAAAATCTCAGTACAGAGTACCTACTAAAAAAACCGACCTCAAAAGTACGTGGAATTACGTTTATTTGCTAAGTTTTATTGAAATATAGTTCGCCACTATAAAGGACTTGACACTGGAGATAATAAAAATCGGTTCTCACTACTCAAAGTACATTGAGAGAAAAACACCTTGAATTGGAGAAATAGCAAAATCGACCATTAAAGTAATTGCTCCTAAATTAAAGTTAGGCGCTATTTATAAAATAAATCTTCATGCGTCAACAGCCACCCTAAGAGGTGGATGATTTTCTTCAAAATGAAATGGGACCACTATGGAAGTACCCCCTTTCCAACAAAAAAAAAGAATCATGAAAATCAGTTCACAAATACCGGAGTTATCGCGTAACATACATACAAAAAAAACATACAGTCGAATTCAGAACCTCCTCTTTTTTTTAATTCGGTTAAAAATATAGAGAAAACGCCTCTTATAGACTTTTGTAACCAAATATTATTATCATCGTAAGTTTGCAAGACTGCTCATGTGATGTATAAATGTGTAAGCGTAAAATCATTCCGTATTCATGAAATAAAATTATTTATTTAATTGTCGTTTTATTATTGAAAGTACTGTGGATAATAATTGTTTGTGTGTAATTTAAGTAACTATGGTCCTAATTGAAAATTAGTGCCGGGAACGCATTGCGTATTCCAGGAAATACTGAGTTAGTGACCCTTTTGTTACCGCAGCTGGCACCACATTCAAGTATCTTTATAGTATCCTTGTTTATGTGAATAATTTTTGTTTTATTTTGTTTCGTAATTATTTATTTATGTTTTACGTTTGAATTTTGATTATGTTTAGTTTTTCTTCTGTTTTGTTTCTTTTTTTGTCTTCCGTGTTGTCATTTGCGGTAAACTATATTCCAGAATGTACGTTTTTATAAACGAAATTAAAGCCATTTGAAAAATGTATATCGCATACTTATACGTGTTCTATTTAGTTCAGTTGATATAAAAAAAAAAACATTGTTTTGTAAAGTACCTATTGAACACTGTGGTTTTTTTATTAAAATTTCGAGGTAAGTTTATTGTTTTCTAAATTTTTAGGAATCGTGTTTTCACACCATATAGTAATCAGTGTATATTCTCAACTTTACTATATATTTTTTCCAAAGCGATAGATTCAACACTTTCACTGTCATGCGATATCCACCAAAGCCATTTGAGGTTGTATAGACTCCTAATTAATACTTACTTTGTATAATAATAAATGTAATGTATCATGTGAAAATAATTATAATGAAGTATATAAAGGCCCATATACTAGTTCTGTATGCATTTAATTGTGACTGTTATATTAAATAAAAAGCGTATTAAAGTCAAAAAAGCAAAATTTTGATGTCCACATACATTTTATAGACACAGTATACAGCATTTACACCTCAGATTCAAAATTCACTCTATGCTACTTATGGTAAGAAAGGTCCGTTCAAGTTAATATGCAAAGTCGATGACTGTATATATTTCCAAAAGATACATGAAAACCGACTTTAAGGTACGTTTATCAAAGTACAGTCAAGAGCACATCAAGCTTGACCCTTTGGAGTTTGGACCGTTCTTATTGCAAGCGGCATAGAGTTAAATTTACACTTTTAGTGTCAACCTTGACGTGCTCTTGGCCCTGTACTAGTACATTTTGAAATGGAAGCAGATACTTTAAAAATCCACCGTATTTTGGTCCTCACAATACCGTTAAGGACAGGCTTGGCGTGTAGCTTACCATCAAGCGCACGACTTGTTCGTCCCGTCACTTGATTTGATTATAAAAAAAAGAACCGTATAACATCAACACATAACGAAAAGATTAAGTATTCAAATCAAACGCAGATGTCCCTCCCCTTATCAATTGATTGCAGGGGACAGACAGACAAAATCTAAACCAATTATAAGCGTTGATAATCTGCAATTGTTTAGGAGGGGAAGATGCGTGTATTTGATCGAATTCCATTGCTTACTGTACAAGGGGTTAGGAAGAATGTACAGAGGAATTGTGATATTGTAATGTTACTTAATAAAAATCTATTTATATCTTCTTATTGTAATGTTCTTTCATAGTTTGCCAACATTTTGCATCTATGACTTTTTAAAAGAAGTTTTTAGAATCTTGAGTAAATACCCTACTGAGCCTATCAATTATTTATTTATAGAGCATTGGTTATAGAGCCAACAGCTTAGAAAGGTAATAAATAACCATGTAATTATTTATGGTGGCAAATAATTAAATAAATAAATAAAAATAAATTAAGAAACTCAAAACATAGTACCTGTACTTAAATTAAAAATTTATTCGTGTAAAATCTGTAACTTCTAATACTCAATGTTTTTCAGTCGAAATGTTGAAAAATAATAAACATAGCAAGAAATTTAAAAAAATAGTAACTTAATCATGTTATAAATTATTTTACGACCATGGATTCAAGTCCTTTCGTTATCTCTAACAGTAACTGATTCGGCACAATGTTGCTGTCTGAAAAATACTTTGTTTGGAACTTTTAAGAACACAGTTCTCCAATTTCAAGATGGCAAACGTAAGTTACAAATATAAATGTGTTACACCTAAAAAAATATTCAAGTAAATAGATAAAACATAAAAGAGGTATACACATACCTTAGTTTTAAAAAATTCTCCAATTGTCTTTGAGATGCCAATTGCCATTGAAGGATATTTCAAAAATGTTGTATCACTGAGAATAGTACAAAATTATTATACAAAATATTTTATCTACACACATATCATAAACTCTCTATAATGTGTCCAAAAACCGCAAATTACGACCAGCATAAAGGTAAACTGTTTTGTTAAAACGAATTTCTTATCTGTGAAAATATTATTATTGCTTTCGATGTTGTTATTACATTCAATTTTCGAACATCTCTGAAAAACAAAACAATTTGATTAGTCCTCAATTCTAACATCAGTCGAGATGAAGTTTTATTCGAAATGAAATGTCAATAGCAAACAATTTTGACAATTTTACACGTTACTTGATATCAAACGATGTGATAGTTGGGGCCGATTCTAGTTTGTCTATGAATTAAAAATAAAAACTACGGTTGTGTGACATGCGTGAGAAAAAAATTTATTTGCCGCCATTTCGTAAGTCGTGACATGTGGTTCCTGAACACATCACAGAAAGCTTATAATATGTATGTAGATAAAGTAGTGTATGTAATTGTACATAATTAGGACTGTCGGCTCGTTTCATAAACCCTCACTCGTGTTTTAAAGTCATTCATTATGTAACAGTCACATGAACTACTATAAAATAAGTAGGCTGAATAACTGAAAATTGGTTTTATTTCCAAATAAAACAACCAGTAGGTACTTACGTTCCATGAGAGCATTTCAAAACCGTAGCACGACTATTCTAAATTATTACAAAAGCTTAGATCAGTAAAATGCCTACAATACAACATGGTTAATACCATCCCATTGTAATTCTCCTGCAAAACTAAGGGGTTCTGAGCCCTTGCGCTTTGTAAGGGGGACACATAAAGAGCCAACACACAAAATTAATACGCACCGCCCAAATATAGTTAACGGCATAATTTCCCGGGGAAAATATTTTTGGGGTGGCAACTTTAAGTGTTGCACAAGTCATTTTAGGCTAATTTATTAGTTGTGTGAAACTTTCGAAATGAGAAATTGACATCGTAAGAATAGTTAGTAGTAACTTTATAGGAATGCGTACGGCATTGATGTGAAATTTTTTGCCTGCAGATTTGTTCTCTGAACGCTATAACTTGGGCCTGTTCAAGGCGAGAGTGAAGGCGAGTTGTCACGATTTGTAGAAGTATGCTTTTTCTATTAGTTTCAAATTTTATTCAAATCATTTGAGGAACGGCCAAGTACTTCCGTTTGCAAATTAAATGGATGCCAAGAAAACTTTGTTCGCTTTGCTTCGACTACTTCTAGAAGTTTGAATGCACCAAAATCCAGATTGAGTAATTACTAAAATAATCTTTGAATATAAGCTTTATTAATTGGAAATGCAACGTAATGTAAAGTATTACTAGGATCCGAAAAAATAGTTTCATTCCCAATGTGTAACAATCGCGACAATCTAACGACTCGATAACCTTTATTACTCAATTCAGCAGTCTGCTGAGACCTAAAACTACTGCCCAATGACTGAACAATACATCGAACAAAAGCTCACATATCTGTGGGCACCGCCATCTGTCGTTACGTATATAGAATTAATAATAATATTGTATGCACCTCTTTATTAGACCATTGTTGGCGGATTATGCACACTCGAGTGTGCTCATTCGTCATTTTAAATGATCATAACTTTATTTAGGGTCGCGTGCTAATGTTATTTGACATGTTTTTGAGGAGCATTCTTGATAGATACTGATACATTCAGTTTCTAACATCTGTTAATTTGGGACAACATAATATCAAAAAAGTTGAAACTTCCCACAATTTTGTTTGTAAACGAAGGTTGTAGCTGGTCCCATACTTTTTTATTTACTTTTTTCTTTATTAACGTATGATCTAGCCTTTAACAGGTAGCCGCTATTGACCGCTGATGCCAGCATGCAAAAAGGATCCTTCCAACTCGTGCACTTTGTTGATAGTACAGACGACAGCAGCACATCAAGCTACACTTTGACGGATCTTGTTCCGTTGCACTGGAACGAAAGTGTATAGCTTGATGTGCTGTTGACCGTACATTACTACTTGAACTCTAAATCAAGTGATTTATATCATTTTTCAGTCTTAGTTTGTTTTTGCTATACATATTGTAGTATATCATTATATTGTGAATATAAATAGAAGTGCAACACTTATTTTGTGAGAGAAACAAAAAGAAATGGTTAATGCGATATTTATTAATAAATTTCACTGTATCTCCTCAATCTATATGCACTTAAAATCGAGTAATAATTTATTTTACAATTAACTCTGGCCTAGATTATATTATACATACAATTTTAACCGTATTTATACCACATCTGTATTGCATTTCATTAATCAAAATATATTGTTTAATAATTAGTTTTTACAATGTAAACTTGTGTTTCCTTAGCTGTAAATTTAGTTAACAAAAATTTTGTCATGCCCCTAACCAATTAACGCTGTGTTTTATACGGAAGTTGTGATGATTTCTCCTTCAAATGTTTACCAAAAGTTTTCGTGGTAAAAATAATCTATTCTACATTTTTTAATCACAGCAATATTTTGATCTCCTTACATTAATTAAAAAGGTAATAAATAATAAATTAATTCGTTTCCGAGGTGCTACATTAGGTTTGAGTCACATTACATACAACATCTATTAGTGTTACTTTTATTATACAAATACAAACATGATTAGTTCGTATGGCAATTTGTTGAAGCAGGGGTGGGAAAACAAATCGGTGTAACGAAGCTCATTGCGACGTTTTTCTCTATAGCATTAATATTTCGCACCCCAATTGCATACATCAAAGAAATAAAAGGGTTGCCCTCAAAGGGAGCACACTCAATTATTACAAACGTTGGCACAAACAATTTACAATTTTATTTTTATGCACATTACCAGTGGTAGAGAACTCTACCGGGATGTACTTCCTCTATTCCACAATAGATGGCGCTTATCTATATTTACAAATATGTTCCGTTTTACTAGCTTACTATTTTCTTAGAACTGTCCATTTACTATGAATTTATGCCACATTTATTACAATCATTTGCTACAAATGAATTTCTGAACTAACACAGGATGTGTAAATTTAATATTTGACTTCGGAAGTAGCACAATTCATAGCCTATGGTCAACTTATTAACTAGGTTTGAACATCATCAGTTGTTTCTTAACAGCTAAATGAGTATATTTGTTAGAACTGACAACTTATAGGTTCTAAAATGTAAGTACTAAAATAATAATGCACCATTTAAACTTTGAGAAAAAGATTCATGTTATATACTTATTTTGCTATCGGCGCAGTAATCACTACGAAACAATTGATTAATGCTTTCTTCAACTTTATCATTTAAAATTTTATACAAACAGTCTCAAAAATCACTTACGATACGGAATTGTTCTCTTGTTGCATATCTCCCGTCAAAACGTTGGCGTCGTGACCGGCAGTCATGTTGAGCGCGTTCATAGACAAGTGAGAGTCAGCGTAGTTGTGCGCAATATCGCCGCTAGATGGCGACTCCGGTACATTAGTCGGGTTCTCGGGCATCGAGAGCAGTCGATGCGGGAACCCGAATAGCTGAGATCACTGAAGCCGCCCCCAGTAGTTCGACGCGAGATCTGGCCCCTGTGATGGTATTTGCACTGGCACACTCACGCCCGCCGATATTACACCTACGGGACAAAGAAAGGAACAGGTAAATAAAAGCCTGTCTGCCTGGATTGTGCAGGTTATTACCTTTAGGAATCGCCTTATGACTTTGCCTCTTGGTAAATAAACGAAACCTATTGTTTCAAAGCTTAGTGAATATGCTATCAAAGGACTAAATAATATAGGCTTGTATTGTTCATTTTCTTTTGTTTTAACAACGCTGATGAGGTATCAGCAGTTTGTTACTAATAAATAAAAGCGACGGTATACATTGTAATTGTTAGCTAAAATAAGATATCAAAATGCTGCAAGCAACATTTCTGACAATTCGGCATATTTTTACAGGTTTTGTAAGGTAATGGAGAGGGCTTCTTTGAAATCTAATAATTTGGGACTATGGAGAAGATAATTGGGTAACGCCTGTTGCGAAAAGGACATTAGGAACAACATAACTATTCTTTTTCTTGTCACCAAATTCTTACTATTATTTTGGATTTATCTGGCTCTCGCCTCTCCCATGGCCTAAAATATTAATTTCTAGTTTTGAAATTGGAGAAGCGGTATTCCCAGTGGCGGATTCGCAGTCTTGGCCGCCCTAGGCCCCAGGCCATGCAGTAAGTACCAGTGGCCCCTTTCTCAGCACTCGTATATACCTACTGGTAGACATATCTATATTTTATAAATAAAATGTACGAAAGTGATTTAGGAAGATTAATGTAATACGATGCGGTGCAGTACGGCCCTATATAATGTGCGTGAGCCTTTAAAATATTTAGCTACTTTAGTTAGGCTTGAGTTATTTCTTGCTACCATCAGTGAATTTTTTATAACGATTGGCCGCCCTAGGCCCGGGCATAGGGTGGCCTTAGTGCAAATCGCCACTGGGTATTCCCCGGCAATTGGCACAGTCACCGGGATCAGGGACTCTGGTTCAACAACCAGCGAACAACACGCACCATATCGAGCAGGCCGGACTTCTGCATTTGTGCTGTAAGCGACACGTCACAAAAATCCATCCGCCTCAAACTGCTAGCGAGACGAACTGATTCAATTGTGATTACTTCAGTGAAGGCCACAACCCATATGACTGTGACTACTTCCGAATTTTCTCGGTTTGGACTTTCACGAGACCATCGTCATGCAAGATGGTAACGTCCACAAAATGTAATGTCCACAAAAAATGTCCTTGACTGCGATCGATCGAATTGTGATTATTATTACATTTACGGACCGAAATCAAATAAAAGCACTACCCATGGTATTTGTCCATGTTGCGGGTGTGTTGACTCTTATTATGTATACAATTTATACAAGCCTATAATAATAATAATGTTTATTTCACAAAATAGTTTACAACATAATGTGTGTGTGTGTGTGTGTGTGTGTGTGTGTGTGTGTGTGTGTGTGTGTGTGTGTGTGTGTGTGTGTGTGTGTGCGCGTGCGTGCGCGTGAGTGTGTGCGTGTTGCGTGCTTGCGTGCGTGCGTGCGTGCGTACGTGTGTGTGTGTGTGTGTGTGTGTGTGTGTGATTACATACATTTTGTGTAAGGACTGAAGCATTGTACGAAATTTTTGTGATGGTAAAATTCAAATTGTCGCCACGAAATATTCGTTATAATTTTAAGGGAGGCTCAGGTTTTTGGTTATGATAATTAATTAGTTCCAATTGCTAACCTAAATCATCTCTATTTAATTATACGTGCATAATGAATAGCAGGAACTTGAGCATCTATTATTAAACCCGATTGACCAATATCCAATCATCACCAAACATAACCCTAGTCAATAGAAACACGTGTACAACTAACCTTAAACCTATTAACATCGTGTATCACTATCGCCTTATGTCTTGTGTCTAATAGGATTCCAATTGCATTCCGTTTATTACACGCAATCATGTTATCTGTGCACGGTATGCTCGGCTCTGTGAGTCAGGTCATGAAGGTATGTGATGACTTTCATGTTGTTAAAGTTTGATAGACTGTTGTTTTACAGACTGTTTTCGTATTAGGTTTCGGTATATGACATCAACATGATAAGGAGGTCCCGGGTTCGATTTCCTGTAGTACCAATTTTCTATATCTATTTTTTTATACAAGTGACGGGACGGAGAAGTAGTGCGCCTGGTTGCAGTGCCACTCAATGCTTTAAATCGCAAAGATCAGAAGATCGCTACCTCTGTGCCCAAACGGTTCTCGACGCTAGACTGCCACGCAGAGATCCTGGGTTCGATTCCCGGGCCGGGAGAAATTTGTGTAGCGTACATTTATTTCTCTAGTAAGTTTGGGTGTAATTTGTGGTTGTCTACCTATGTGTCTCCATGGCACCCGCGATACATGGTTCCCCTAGATCGGGGCTATGGGTGTGTGCGTTAAAAAAAAGTTGAAGTCTCGTGCGCCCTTAATTTCACCAGCACCCTTACCCTTTAAAACCGGAACGCAGTAATGCTCACATTACTGCAGAAATAGGTAAAGTGGCAGTACTCCCCTGGACGAACTCTTTCACAAGGAATTCTATTGCAACTAATTCCGAGTAAAGCCCTGAAGTTACTTTTGTTGCTCTAAAGAGACGATTTCCAACGTGGTTTATATCGACCCCCAAAGGTCCACTCCAATGTACATGAGGTCCATGTCAGTGGCAAAAAATAGGGGTACGTGAGACGGTAATGGGAGACACAATAAAAAAAATATTTCCAATCTGTTTTTTTTTGTCGATCGTAAATTGAATAAACATTTTTCATTTTAGTTTTATTCAATTAAAAAAGCTTATAAGCTTATTTGCTTTCATACCTATTAATCCAACGATCGCGTCACAATATGCACACAATATTCTTCCAATTGCACCCTAACCGCCGCGTGCGCTCTCGCGATAACACTTTCCTCGCCACACTGTCGCGCCAAAGGGGTACTTACCCGTTTACATTCATTATACGTTATTATCGGCTCTAAACAGCGCTCCTGAGACTCGTTTAGTCAATGGTCTGTGTCTATGACCGCTTGTTTATGGTAGCTCGTGAAGTTTAGATTGTCGCCTTTATTATCTCTTACATTGTGAAGAATTGTGTAATGTTTATAGAGGTATAACGGTTAGGTAGATGTCGTTATTAATAAATAATGGTTTTAAATTTTAATTGCACATATTTACAGGTCAAGCAAAACCAACGCATATTTCAAATAATGCAAATATGAATGCTGTGTAAATGACATAAGGTATAATTTCCAATAAATAATTTCGACAAATTTTATACCTTTATGTGTGGCTAGCTCTGCTCTCTCTTTTTTGTTAATGACTTGTAGTCATCAGATGTCTTAAACAGTTTCAGAACTGTAGATTTAGTACTATAGGTTTTTTTTTCTACATAGATATCACATAATTAACTCGAAAAGTGCATTTTTTCAAACTTTTAGATTATAATGCAAATTTAGCTTAATTCGAATAAAAAATACTTTTTATCTACTGCGAAATCACAAAAGAACGGGTGCCAAAAAACTTAAAGTAGAACAAATCCGCATTATTTAATACCGCACGAAGCTGGAAATGCACCCGTCGAAAGAGCGCAAAAGAGTAAATGAAACGAGAGCGTGCATTTTGAATTGTGAAAAACTCTTTTGTTCGCGGCTGGTGCTGGAAACTCGGCAGTCGAACAATGCCGCGAAACGCCCCAAACAACAATAATTCATACCGCTTTCCGCCACCTACGGCTAAAAATGTCCGCCGCGTGATATATAATATCAAATGGAAAAGTTACGGCTTTTTAAAACAATGGAAACGCCAACGCCTCACGGTTTGTTCTTTTCCTGAATAATAAATCTACAATGTTTATGCTTAGGCATTTTTACAGCGTCGGAATGATACGTTTAGCTTTTGGTGGCTTTTACGTTTATATATAATTTAAAATTTAATCATTTTTGTTTACGTAAATTAAAGTCTGTCTTCCGATGCTATTTGTCAACAAAAGCGTTCGATATTCAAAATCAATTTAAAAGCCATTTGTAAGGAACAGACAACGGCAAATCCAATCGGGGCATGAACTCCTATTTACTTCCTCTTTTTTTCTCTTTTATTTTTTGTTTCCCCCATCATGTCGCGGTCTTGTGAGCCAGACGCCCCTTGCTCTTGAGTCAGCGTTTTTTACATTTTATTACGAAGTTGGTAAATATTTTCCAAGGCCTCTCATCTTGATTTCGTCGATTTTTGTTAGGTTTTATATTCTTGCTTTGAATCCAACATTACTTTGGACGTTCCTATGAATAAAATATATTTTGTGTATTCAATAGTACATATATCTAAAATTGTATCGAGTTCTGTACTTGGGTGACCTATTTTCTTCTCACACGACTGTTTATCCAATTAACGCATTACTTTCTAGCTGCACGATCACATTACTAGGTACGCGTTAAAGAAATAATATGTCACTCCTCAAACAATTGTAATAATACCTACACAAAGTTTTTGCCATAGGTACAGTTTTTGTTACGCCTACACAGCTCGTCACAGCGAGACTTAAAAATAAGCATTTAGCTAAATATAATTAAAATTTACCAAGCATTATTTTGTTTTTAGCTTTAATATTTACTTTGCAAAAATTAAAATCCCATTTAAGCAAAAGTATTGCTTTATTACCCCTGTGATACAAAATAAAGTGTAATTTTGTGCTGTGATTAGATATGTAGGCATTTAATATGTTAAATGTTATCTAAGTCCAGTTACATTGAGGTCGTCTTAGCTAAAGACGACCATCGTCATCATCATCTGTTTCTTGAGTAAAATTAAAAACATTATGAAAATCTCAATTGTACGACCAAAAAGGTATTCCGTCTTTGTGTAATAAATTTTAGATAAACGACTCACCAGTACTAGCACCTGCCTGCGGTTGCGAATATGCTCCATGCTGCTGATGCGCCGCCGGAGCCCGAGAGTATCCTCCACTCCCCAACACGTCGCCAAACATGTACGGGTAACCTCCGTCCCGTTGCTGTAGGCACGACGACGACAGACCACCCGACATTGAGCTGTTGGAACCAAGCGCATTGTCACTACCAAATAAAACAAGAAATAAGAAAAAATTAAAAATCCAGAGTCGATAGTAACAGAGAAAATTATAAAAAGTTTTCTAGTTAACCTATACGTTTTAGTAACTGAAGAAGAATTTCACTTAAACTTAGTTGTATTATTTTAAACCTTTGCCCGTTCCATAACGGAAAGAATTTAAAAAACAACAACTGAAAACTTATATTTACGTAAAAATGCAGGTAATTAATTAAGTATACTTTAATTAATTAAATGTAAAACGAATAATACATATTTTGTTAAGAAGACTGCATTCACGCAACACTATGGATGCAAACAAGTAGTTACTGGAGCAAAAGTGTCACAGCAGCAAAAAAGGAAGGACATAATGAAATTTATTCCGTAGACTGAACTAAAGGGGCAACTTCCCGTCTCACTAAGTTAATTTGCTCCACGACGGAGGCTAAAGCTCGTAGTTCACTATTAAAAATCAATCCAAGTGGAAAGTCGGGCGACCTTCGGTCTGAAGTTCGGAACGTCTCGGTGCAATGGCGGGAAACGCAAGGAGGCGCGACCTTTGCCGCTCGATTTCGCGCGCAATTTAATTAGTGTCACCGCTTGATGATAGATGGCGCTGCCTTACACTTCGTTGTATACGTGTGTGTTATACGTTTAGATGTTTTGCCGGTTAACACATGATTACGAATGCTATTTAAGGTTGTAGGCCAGCGATTTCACATAATTAACACCGAAACATTTATCTAGGTAAAAGAAAATTATATTCTAAACGCCATAAGTATTAATGTAGTGTTTATCTCCAAATAATTCTCAAGGTATCTATTTTAAGAATAACATCTTCTGTGTCTTTTCGATAAGTGGTTTCTATTAATAAATAAGTATTACGACGACTCCAAACAAGAAAGAATAACCGATGTTATATGTCGATGTCTATTTTACAAAGACAATAATTGATAATAGATTCAGGCGTTACTTTGCGGAAGTCCATGTTAATAAAAATGGAAGTAAATTAATTTGCGACTCCGCGAACCCGTTAAAGGTTAAATCGTATAAAGTTGCTGCGTTTGTGTTGAATATTTTTTCATGCAGTTACTTTTCCTACCCTCCCTCCGCATAAATCTAATAAAATAAATAACACAAGTGCAATAAACGATAGTCACAGAAACACCACCACTGAAATTATGCCAATATATTTAATTTACTTTCATTTTTTATTCCAAAAATTGTTCTTATGCTCACCTATAGGAATCGCCCATCGTTGCCATAGGTTGCGGCAGCGGGCTGTACATGGAGTTGAAACCACCGTTTAGAGGCAGACGAGGTGCTGGCGGTGCGGGGGGAGACGCCGCAGGCGCATCTCGTCTCTGACTGCGCAGTTTTTCTTCTCGCCGCCATTTCGCTCGTCGGTTGGAAAACCAAACCTGTAGAAAAATAGGCAATATTCATAAAGATGTCTTCAATTAGGTTCTAATAAAACAGTTTATTGATCAAAAACAAAATAAAAATTTTTCTTTAAGATTTTTATAGCCGTAATAGTGGCACTCGCGCAAATTCCAATCAAAAGTTATGGAATCTTGGTGTTTATGGTTATACTATATTCATGTAAATGACTGCACATAAGTATTTTCATCTTTAATTTTAATAATTTTAGTAGCAGTAGAGCTCCTTGTAAAAGAGTTCATCCAGGGAAGTACTGCCACTTATTGCTACCGCCAAGCAGTAATGTGAACATTACTGCGTAGGCAAGGGTGCTGGTGAAATTACAGGTACATGGGACTTGTCAGCTTATGTCTCACGTGTCGGGCGCAGTTTCAGTGCCCCTTAGAACATTGTGATTTAAAGCTCTAAGTGGCACTGCAACTATTATGGACAGGCGTGTCGCTTACCACCAGACACACGACGTGTTTGTCCCATCACTTAGTATAATAAAAAAAGAACATCGCATCTAAATTGTAGAAAATTATTTTAAATTGATACTGGTGGAACTGACCAGCGTTCAGAACGGATTGACTTCACCTGCTTCCCGCTACTCGATAGACTTCAAGGTTTACGAATGCATAACTTATGGATGACAATACACTGCAGTCAACAGTCAAGTGTATGTCATGCTTCACACTTTGGATCGTTCTTATCCAAAGCGAAATAGAGTTAATTCAAATCTCAAGAGTCGATACAAGCTCAAATGGCTATGTTTGATTACTGCTATACTGATAAACTTTGGAAAAAATATACAGTCAAATTGAGAATAGACACTGATTAATATACACTGTGAAAACATGATACCTAAAAATTTTCACGATAGAAAAAAAAACACAATTCTAACTCGAAATTTTAGAAAAAAACCGCTGTATTCAATACGTACTTTACATATACCAATGGTTTTTTTTTTATATCAACTGAACTAAAACGCGTATGGTATACGATGTATGTACATTTTTCAAATTAATGCTTTAATATCGTTCGTGAAAAAAAATATTCTGAAACAAAGCCAGAGACCCTGCCGCTTGACCCAAGCAAAATGAACTGTATTAGTACGGAAACAATTTGGATCCGCGCTGAGGTGGTATCAACTCTTTAAGTGGACCATTGAACTGGTGCTATAGTTCGAAAGTATGTATAGGTACTGTAATCGTTTTACTGAATTTAGTTACAACAAACGTAGTTATGTATCTATTAAACATGTTAGGCCCATCCCACACGAAATGAAAATTTTAATAGCCCCTAACGACATGTCGCGTTATTACCGCGTTTAATAAAGTTGATGGTAAGTAATTAAGCAATGGAGGGCGGCGCGAGCCACACCACGTGAGCTGATAATGATGTGAACTTAATTAACTTAGGGTTAATAAGTTGAAAGTTACGTAGGTTCATTAGTAAATACATACTTCCTAGCTATATCTGAAACAATCAGCCTTTTTAATTTTTTGCGAAATTAGGTAATTAAGTACTTAAATTTGTATTTTCTACAGAATCAAGTCTATATGTAATATGAACTTTACATAGAAGAAATAAAAATTTAATTTACTTTATCGTTAAATAACTTCTTTTTAACAATCTGCGAACATCTCTGAACAAACTCCAAAATTCTGCCAACAAAATCAAAGTAAACTTCGCATCTTGTAACAAAAGTTGGTAACAATTAAAATAATTCAACCGTGCTCTCAATATTGTGACATTGAACTGCGTGAAACGGAACGTCGGCCGGAAGTAGCGCTCACGTGCGCGTCTTTTCCGGCCGCCGACTGTCATGGCGCGGGCAACATGGCGGAGATTCCCGCGCTTTCAGGAACGTGTAGAGACACCACTATACTTTTGCCTTTTAAGAACCTTATTGTGGTTTTCTTAAATTTGAATTGATTAAAAGTTAATAAAATGACTTTCATTTTAAATTTTAAAAGTTGTAATAAAGGCTACAAATACGAAAAATACCCCTCAACATTCATAAATACAAACCAGTTTATAAACATAGAAATTCGTATACTTTTGTACTCGAAAAATTCACATTAGATACCGCAGATGTTTTACGTCACCTCTGCATAATACTTTTACTTACGTATAGCAAAATATCAGTAATATTTTTCTCACAGGAAAAATCCGAAAAACCGGCACAACTCAAAGAAGTCACAGGAGGCAATATGTCATAATATTATTGCTTCGGCCTCGAACGAAATCGGCAAAACGTTATCCACAATATTACATTTTACCCACACAACTGAAAGGGACCCCACGCACTATTTTCGCGCAAAAGTTTTCTCTGCTACCTATTTAACTTAAGTGAGTGTAGCTATGTTGAACTGAGATCAAAAGGCTTTGCTCATGGGTAAGGTTATTACATATAGAAAGGATGTTTTTGAAAGATTTTCATGTACAGTAAGTATACGACAATTTACTTTTTTAAAGAGCTGCACAGAATGAATTTGTATGAATAAAACGATTATTCTACTTCACTCGTAAGAAATAAGCTGGCCTATTGATAATATTGTGCAGTCAAAAAAATCGACTACAAACATTTGGTACTGTAATTTCGTATTTATCATCATCATTTCAGCTGAAAGACGTCTACTGTCGACTGTCGTGCTGAACGTAGGATCGCCACAAGTAGACCGGTAAATTGTGATGTTTGCATCCAGTGGACAACAAGTCCTTCCCCTTCACCAGACCATCACACTATTATTACTATTATTATTTTAACTGCCTCGGTGGCCGAACGGTTACCATGCCGGACTGCGACGCAGAGGTCCCAGGTTCGATTCCCGGGCCGGAAGAAATATTTGTATGGCCTACATTTATTTCTCTCGTGAGTTTGGGTGTAATTTGTGGTTGTCTATGTGTGTGTCCATGGCACCCGCGACACAGGGTTTCCCTAGTGCGGGGCTATGTTGAGTGTGTGCGTTATAAAAAAAAACTATGGGAAACAGTACGGACGCCCCATATCTCTTTATCACCCAAAAAAAATTAATCCGGATTATATTTAATTTAGATCAGACTGATAGTTGCAAGCCACATTTTCAAAAGCATAACATACTTGCTTTACCTTGTTTATATATTTTTGAGATGTGTAAATTCGTACGCAAATACAAACACTTTTATACAAAAAAAGGAGACATTCCTTCAAAATATATTTTACGCCATAAAAATAAATTAATATTGCCCCATTCCCGCTTAAATCTAAACTATACAAGTACATATAATTTTTCTATAAAACTGTATAATAACTTACGTAATGTAAATGAAAGCAATGATATACAATTTACAAAAAAGTTGAAAGAGTTACTCTTACAAAAATGTTATTATAGTATTAATGAATACTTAAATGATATATTACTGACCCACGGGAACAAAAGCTAAACAAATAAACACACATTAATATATAAATACAATATATCGATATATATATATGTATATTTAAAAGTAAAATAAAATAATATATAGTAAATTAAATAACAATTATTATTACATACACATATATTTTATGTTTTGTTTGCATTTAAATTTCATATTAAAACATGTAAATTTCTATCTACTAGTTTGCTCCTCTCTCCTTTCCATTATATTGCGTGCCCGAAGGGGTCCTTAATATTTGTCGTTGTTGTATTTTCTTATATTATGGTTTTGCAATAAAATATTGAATATTGAATATTGAAATTTTAGTCAGTTACGGACCAAAAATCTGTAACTTTTTGTTTTTTGAGATAAACCTTTCAATTTTTTATTATATATAGTGGGACTTACGACGCTTTAAAACGCATGAACATTTTTATTTTAATTTTTTTTAATTAACTACTTGTAATTGAGAGACAAAAAAAATTACAAAATCATAAATCTCTCTCTGGTAAATACTACATAATATTTTTTTTTAATGGAAATGCCATGTTACGGTAATTTTTTATTCATAAAATAAATTAAATGTAATTGTAAATTATACTTAAAATTATATAAAATATAAAAATAAAAATACGAGACAAGAAAAAACATGACAGCATATTTGTTATTATTTCGGATATCTGTTTTAGACTCTAGCCTCTCTCTTATATCATGGCCTATTGTTACTGTAATATAATATCTTTTTCGTAGACGTAGCGTCTCCTCGTCAAGCTCCTCTCGATTTTAACATAAGGTTTTCGGTTACTGGTTATAAATGGATAAGAAGTACAAAGTAACGTGTGAAATATATCTTCATTTGTTACAGATCTAGAACACTTTGATCTAGAACACTTGCCGTGGTTTATCAATTATTAATCCAATCTCTTCTCGAAAGCGTCTTTGTATCACAGTTTTCTTGTCTTGTTTAGTTTGTTTATTTTTGTCACTCATAGCTGACCATTATTGAAACGAAAGGTTGTAAGAAATATGCAAACACATCTCCATACAGCGAATCCAGACGTGCAGTGTTGATAATCTATAACGAAAAGAATTTTCATTTATGGACCTAGCAGTTACATTTTGAAAAGTATTCATTAGACATGGAGTAGCACCACAAATATTACATATTGAAAACTTTGCCGTCTATCATAGTCAAAAAAAGTTCCACTTGAACGCCATTGCCTTCCTTAACAATCAACGATGTACTCAAAGAATCAATTTGATTTTGAATATCGTTAAAATCGCTTTACTTTTCTCAGGAGTTTCTTTTGAAAACTCGATTAAAATAGGGCGACAGACTCTCACAGATGAAGGCGCAGGATTTTGCCAAACAACAGTACCAGTTGTTTCACCAATTAATCTGATGGGCACAACAGATGCGACGAATAAGTATGAGTCTGACACAAGTTCAGACTCACTTTGACCAGACGAGCCATCACATCCTCATTTACTGTATAAAACCAACTGTTTCAAACCGTTTTTGTACACGGAATCTATCATCAATATCCTCACCGTTGTGTGATCTAATAAATTCTGTAGAGATAACATTTTTGCACAT